GAATACTGTTGGATTGTGTGAACAAGTCCTCGGCTCACAGTCCTGCGACGCCGATGCATCCGTGCTGAGCTTTAGCCCATACCAACGTGACATATATCGTCAAAACGAGAAATCCTACTTTATTAATGTTTTTTTTTCTCAAAGTACTGTTTCTTGTTCTGGCGATGCCTGCCACGGTGGTACAGACAGATGTAAGCTGAGATATATATGATACAACATTCTCATTTATTTCATCAGCCAATCTTCCTTTTGGTTCTGGTGAGACTAATTCACGAATTCCTTCCAACCAACTTCTCGTTTGTAAAATGAAAAGTCAAACAGCACTATTTCATCTCGTAAATCGATTGGTGCGGGAGCATCAGTTGAAGGGAATCGTGTATATGTCTCGTCGGAAGAAGCTGAATGAAGAATGCCTTGGATCATCTTTTAATCCATGCCAAATAAGTTCATCTTCCTGAAGTATGAGTAGATCTTGAGTTTCCCCTAATGAAATGACTTACCCCAGGATGCCATTAAATTATATTTCGCCGCGCCTCAAACTTGTCAGAGCCTTATCAACAGCCTCGAGCCCACCATTCCATCACACAGCCACAGATAGCATTTAATGACGAGACAGACAGCACTTGCGAGGCAAGCAAGGTCCCTCCGAGTCACACTTTCACAGTTGCAGTCGTATTTGACATTAAAATCCACGATATTCCTCTGCGCTAATTGATTAGGCTGAGACAAAGTCAGTGGATTTCCGATAAAAGCTCGAGCCCCTTCAGGTCGATTGAGGCGATTTAAGGATTTGATGGTTTCGGAATTTACCAAACGTTATATGCTGGTACCGTCGATGGCAACGGCATGTTTGCTTTCTACTATGAAAATGCAAGTTGAGAGACGCCTGGCCGAGTGGAGGCGTTTTCGCTAGTCGCGAATGCGGCGAGCTCGAGTCCTGCCGGTAGTGTCGGTTCATGCGTCCTTCCGGCACCAGCTTTGACCTCCATCAGCACTTTCCCACGTGGTCAGGAGCTCCAGTCTCCTGGAAAATGAGCCAAATGATGGCTCATCTGCTTTGACATCCGAGCAGGAAGTTGATTTGCAGACTGAACGCCTGTCGCCCCGGCGACGGAAAGCGCCGTAGTCACGTTGTCCGACGAGCGATATGGTGGCTGTTGATCCGGTTGTTGACAGTCGCCTCTCCGACGTATGTGTTACCGAGGCGAGGGGAAGAAAGAAAGGTGGACAAATGTGGGGTTGTTGTCTGTGTGGGAAGCTGAAGAGGAGGGTGGCAACCGGGCAACCGGTGAGGCCACGTGGACTTGGC